ACGGAGGAAATTTCACTTCCCCAGTCTGTTCTCAGCCTTCGTATCCTTTCCCAGATTCAAACTGCTAGCAAGAACATTAATACAAGTTATTCATGTCACGGAATAACTAGTAACATTTGGCAGTGATGACATCTACATCAACCAAGGACTCCAGATCCCATCTGCCTGGTTCCATAGGCAGGATTTGCCACAAATGTCCACTGTTCTTCAATGTCTTATTATTGTATTTCAGCCTTTAGGGATCAACTAGCTGTGCCCTGCCACGCGTTGCTGTGGCCTATAGTAAAACTTATCAAACTTGAGGTAGATATCTGGACTATTATGAAAGAGAGGTCCCTACCTATTCCTTCCCCCTTTTCCTCCCCCTTTCTCTCCTTTCTTCCTTCTCTACCTCTTTCTTTCTTTCCTTCTTTCACTACTTGGTTTCATCCTTCTCTCTTTCCTTCATTCCCTCCCCCTTTCTTCCTTTGCCTTTCTTCCCTTCCTTGTTTGCTTCCTTCTTTCTCTTTTTATTTCCTTTTATTTCACCACCATCATAACAATAACAATAATGCAATGCATTGCCTCTGGGACCTGACACCTCTCCCATTCCCCCTAAAAGGGTCTCATAGGAACAATAGCATAATAATAATAATAATAATAATAATAATAATAATAATAATAATAATAGAAATAACAACCTTTACCCGCCACGTGTTGCTGTGGCCAATCTTCCCTCTTTCTCTCCTTCTTTCCCTCCTTCCTTGTGGGGTTGCATGTGTGTGTGCGGCGGCGGGGGAGTGATGGAGCGTGGGGTTGCGTGTGTGTGTGCGGCGGCGGGGGGAGTGGGGTTGCGTGTGTGTGCGGCGGCGGGGGGAGTGATGGAGCGTGGGGTTGCGTGTGTGTGTGCGGCGGCGGGGGGAGTGGAGTTGCGTGTGTGCGTGCGGCGGTGGGGGGAGTGATGGAGCGTGGGGTTGCGTGTGTGTGTGCGGCGGCGGGGGGAGTGGGGTTGCGTGTGTGTGTGCGGCGGCGGGGGGAGTGATGGAGTGTGGGGTTGTGTGTGTGTGTGTGCGGCAGGGGGTGTGTGTGTGTGTGCGGGAAGCGGGGGGGAGTGATGGAGTGTGGGGTTGCGTGTGTGTGTGCGGCGGCGGGGGGAGTGGGGTTGCGTGTGTGTGTGCGGCGGCGGGGGGAGTGATGGAGTGTGGGGTTGTGTGTGTGTGTGCGGCAGGGGGTGTGTGTGTGCGGGAAGCGGCGCGGCGGGGCTTGGAGTGGGCATGGTTTCCGCAGAGGGAACGTTGGCCGGAAGGCCATGTGCGCGCACCAGGGAACTTGCGGCTGGGCGCCAATGCGCATGCTCAGTATTTTTGCCATTTTGTGAGTGTGTTGTTGTGTTGTTTTTCATTTTGAGTAGATATGTTTGTACCTTGTGGGTTGTGTTATGGGCATGGGAATTTTGGTTAAGTTTCGTTGGGGGGTTTTTGAGTTTTGTTTCTCCGTTGGATGCCCCTAACAAATTTATATATATAGATGAAGATATGTGCTGGGATTTCCACCTCGTGATGCCAAAAGGAATTGGCTGGCTTTGGGTAGTGTGCCGCCAGATTTCCCAGACAGATTTTCCTATTTTGTCTCAGGCAGCTATCTTTCGTGGGTCTCATCTGCCACGAGGAAAAGCCATTAAGCACCAAAATCTGTTTGAAGTCAACAGCTTCCTTGGGCCAACTTGAAGGTCACACATTCCAGCTTAAGGTTTTCATTAAAATTGTCTTGTGTTGGGAGGCTTTTTGGAAGATTTTACCACTGACGTCTTTGGTTATTAAGCTTGTTTTTTTCTTGGTTTCGTTGTTTTAAAGTGCCCCTTAAATGGTTGTTTTCGTTAAGCTACATGTAGTATGGTTTATCATTGTTATGGTTTATCCTGGATTGAGGATACCAGTCCAGAAAGTCTTTATGGAACCACAAAAAAGGATGAAACAGCAAAGGACAAGATTGTTTCTGGGTTGCTGTAAGTTTTTCGGGCTGTATGGCCATGTTCCAGAAGCATTCTCTTCTGGCGTTTCGCCTGCATCTGTGGTTGAGAACTATTTCGTATTTGGACTCTCCTACTCCACGCCAGCCCAATGACCATCATTTGACTGCACAACCAACCCACACTGTTTTGTGAACTCTAGTTGGCTGCTGTAAATTAATGTGGATGCTTGCTTAGAATTTATGTCATTATATAATGTTGTTTGACTACGTGTAGTTTAATTTATTTATGTTAGGTTTAATTTACTGATGTCAGGCTTTAATTTGATGTCAGGTTTTAATGTTATTTTCATATGCAGGGTTTCTCTGGGATTTTATGTGAGTATTTGTTTGTTTTACAAAGGCACTGAATATTTGCCATTGTTCAGTTGGAATCCGCCCTGAGTCCCCTCAGGGAGGTAGGGTAGAATACAAATAAAGTTTTAGTATGGGTTGTTGTGAGTTTTCTGGGCTGTATGGCCATGTTCCAGAAGCATTCTCTCCTGACGTTTCACCCACATCTATGGCAGGCATCCTCAGAGGTTGTGAGGTCTGTTGGAAACTAGGCAAGTGAGGTTTATATATTTGTGGAATGTCCAAGGTGTAAGAAAGTACTCTTGTCTGCTTGAGGCAAACGTGAATGTTGCAAATGGCCACCTTGATTAGTATTTAATGGCCTAGCAGTTTCAAGATCTGGCTGCTTCCTGCCTGGGGGAATCCTTTGTTGGGAGGTGATTGGCTGGCCATGATTGTTTCTTGTCTGGAATTCCCTTGTTGTTGAGTGTTGTTCTTTATTTACCGTTATGATTTTAGAAGTTTTTTTTAATACTGGTAGCCAGATTTTGTTCATTTTCATGGTTTCTTCCTTTCTGTTGAAATTGTCCACATGCTTGTGGATTTCAATGGCTTCTCTGTGTAGTCAGACATGGTGGTTGTGAGAGTGGTCCAGCATTTCTGTGTTCTCAAATAATATGCTGTGTCCAGGTTGGTTCATCAGGCGCTCTGCTGTGGCTGACTTCTCTGGTTGACTTAGTCTGCGGTGCCTTTCATGTTCCTTGATTCGTGTTTGGGCAATGCTGCATTTCACGGTCCCAATGTAGACTTGTCCATAACTGCAAGATTGTTTCATTTCCATGTGTGAAAGGTAACAAATACCAGCAACTGAATTTTTCATCAGCTGTGACGACAGGATACTATAAATCAAGCATCCTTTATCTTTTATTCCAAAATACATGAGTGTCTGAGATTGTGACACCTTTGTTTTCTTATGATTCAGTGCACGCAAACTTTGTTTATCCACAACACGATAAAAATATTGTATAAAATTACCTGCAGGCGATGTGCGTAAAGTATCTATGAAACATGAATAGATTTCGTGTTTAGACTTGCTTCCCATCTTTAAGAGCTCTCATTATGTAAGTATATGTATATACAGGTATTTCAAGATAAAACAAATTCCAAACACTTCTGGTCCCAAGCCTTTTGGAAAAGGGACACTCAACCTTTATTTCCCTGATTACATCCCCCCAGCATCTTGCATCGGTTCTTTTGCCCCCTAACATCTTCTCCATCTTCTCACTGAGCAGCCACTCTGGTATACAGGGAGATCTCTCTAAGGGCATGTACCTTTTAAGCTTTTTGGGAAGATTTTGAATGTATAAAAATGGAATGTTTTGATTTGGGAGCAGAATCCCAATCTGATCCTTACTTGTTAGTTGACCCAGTATGAGCAGTAACATAGTGGTCTCTGTGGCCAATAGGGTTGCTACTTCATAACTGTAATTTTGCTACTGTTATGAATCATAATGCAAATATCTGATATGCAGGATGTATTTTCATTCACTGGACCAAATTGGGCACAAATATCCGATATGCCCAAATTTGAATACTGGTGGAGTTGGAGAGGAGGTTGATTTTGTTATTTGGGAGTTATAGTTACTGGGATTTAAAGTTAACCTACAATCAAAGAGGATTCTGAACTCCACCAATGAGGAATGGAACCAAATTTGGCACACAGAACTCCCATGACCAACAGAAAATATTGGAAGAGTTTGGTGGGCATTGACCTTGAGTTTGGGAGTTGTAGTTCACCTACATCCAGAGAACATGGTGGACTCAAACAATGATGGATCTGGACCAAACTTGGCACTGATACTCAATATGCCCAAATGTGAACACTGGTGGAGTTTGGGGGAAATAGACTTTGACATTTGGGAGTTGTAGCTGCTGAGATTTATAGCTCACCTACAATCAAAGAGCATTCTGAACCACACCAATGATAGCATTGGGCCAAACTTCCCACACAGAACCCCCATGATCGACAATAAATACTGTTTTCTGATGGTCTTTGGCAACCCCTCTGACACCCCCTCGTAACTCCTAGGTTGAGAAACACTGGTGTAGATGCACTCAAAGTCACCACTCATTGGTGCCACTGGTGGTGCAGTGGGTTAAACGCCTGTGCCAGCAGGACTGAAGACCGACAGGTTGCAAGTTTGAATCCGGAGAGAGGTGGATGAGCTCCCTCTATCAGCTCCAGCTCCTCATACGGGGACATGAGAGAAGCCTCCCACAAGGATGATAAAAAAAACATCAAATCATCTGGGCGTCCCCTGGGCAATGTCCTTGCAGATGGCCAATTCTCTCACACCAGAAGTGACTTGCAGTTTCTCAATTCACTCCTGACACGACAAAAAAAAAAGTGCCACTAACATGCACTGAATATTGGCAGAGCTTACAGCAAGTCCTTGGGGAAATAGACAATCTAAAGCAAACCTTCCTGAATGATGACTGGGGGATCCCAGGAACTGTAGTTCAAAAAGTTCAAAACATTACCTGGTTTACAATAAGCATTTGTGCGTGTCAGATTATGTAATCTTTGCCGTTAAGGGAAGTGATAAATAATTTCATCTGTGAGGTTGCATTTCCTTTCTTTCTCATTTCCTTCCCACTTCCGTAGGTGAGGAGGTCTCACGCACAAGTGAGTGCCACCACACAGACACATTGCTGAATATAACCGCACGTATGTCTATGGTAGATCTGAAGGAGACAGGTATTTGCTGCTAGTACTTGGGTATTATCTTAGAGTATCTTCATCTTTTCATTTCACAGGTACGGTCTTTTATTAACAACTTTTGATTGGGTTTGTGGCTTGCTTCTAAAAGTGTTTGTGAACTGTGTGGGTTTTTCAAACCTGAGTCGCATTGTACTGCTATACAGAATAGATATACAAGTTGAACGTCTCTTAAACAAAACACTTGGGACCAGAAGTGTTTCATATTTCAGACTTTTTTAGATTTTGGAATATTTGCATATACATAATTTTATCTTTTACAATTTAGCTGTAAATCGCCTAGAGCATTCTCGGCTGGAGGACGATTAATAAGTAATTAAATATGATGATATGATGATAATGAGATTGCTTGGAAATAGGACCCAAGTGTAAACATACCATTCATATATGCTACCTATACATTTTATTTCTTACTTACTTACTTACTTACTTACTTAGGCGATCTCTCGTAGCCTGCGGACGATGGTCCTCCAAGTGTAGTGTCTTGGCGGTGGGTCCATAGGTGGCTGTGGGGTCCTATTCTTGATCCAAATGTTCTCCCATAGTGAGGATATGGGTTTCCAGGTGGAAGGTGGTCCTGGTCAGGGTTGGCTTGACCTGCCTTCTTCCTCTTGGCAGGTTTCTTCCTTTCACCCTCCATTCATGCCTCTTCGAATTCTGCAGCACTGCTGGTCACAGCTGACCTCCAGTTAGAGTACTCAAGGGCCAGGGCTTCCCAGTTCTCGGTATCTATGCCGCAGTTTTTAAGGTTGGCTTTAAGCCCATCTTTAAATCTCTTTTCCTGCCCACCAATGTTATGTTTCCCATTCTTGATTTGGAAGAATAGTAACTACTTTGGGAGACAATGATTGGGCATTCAGTCAACATGGCCAGTCCAGCAGAGTTGATGGTGTAGGAGCATCGCTACAGTGCTGGTGGCCTTTGCTTCTTCCAGCACTCTGACATTTGTCCACTTGTCTTCCCAAGAGATTTGCAGGATTTTTCGAAGGCAACGCTGATGGAATCGTTCCAGGAGTTGCATGTGACGTCTGTAGACAGTCCATGTTTTGCAGGCATATAGCAGGGTTGGGAGGACAATAGTTTTATAGACAAGCACCTTGGTATCCCTACGGATGACCCGGTCCTCAAACACTCTCTACTTCATTCATTATACACTTTATACACATAGTCTGAAGGTAATTTTATACACGGTGTTTTTAATTTGTGCACAAAACAAACGTTGTGTACATTGAACTATTAGAAAGCACTATCTCTGGCATCCGAATGGGCGGTTTTGGATTTGGAAGTACTTTGGATTTCAGAATTTGGGATAGGGGATGTTCAACTTACACTTTGGTCAGTTCCAACTTGGTTAAAGTTGATAAGCTTGCTCCTATAAAAATATATGATCTAAGTAATATTGGACAATTGATTAATTGTTCCAATTGATTATTTTACTTGGGAACAAAATACTAAAACTCGATAAACTAAACTAGACCCAGGTGGCAAAGAAATATAAAATAAAATGTTAAGGTCAGGCATTTGTGAAACGTGTGCTTTTCTTAAACTACTGAAATGTGAATGGAGTTCACAGACTTTCCGCTTAAAATGAACATTTCTAGCTCGCCCTTTGCGATGCCAAGAGATTTCCTCCTGGCTTTGAAAAGAACCCCTTGCAGATCTGTTGCAACCTATTCAAAGAGCCAAGTCTATCCAGGAGATCCCAGTTGACCTTTCATCTTCAATTAAAATCTGTTTTGCAAACAGAAACAACCATGATGTAGTTGCTGTGAATTTTCAAGGCTCTCTGGCCATGTTCCAGAAGCATTCTCCCCTGACATTTCACCCACATCTATGGCAGGCATCCTCAGAGATTGTGAAGTCTGTTGGAAACTAGGCAAGTGGTGTTTGAAGCTGCAAGGCTATTCATGGCTAATCAAGGTGGACAATTGCAACAGTCACACTTGCCTCAAACAGACAAGAGTTCTTTCTCCCACCCTGGACATTCCACAGGTATTTAAACCCCACGTCAGGAGAGGATGCTTCTTGAAAATGACCTTACAGCCTGGAAATCTCATAGCAGTCCAGTGATTCCGACCATGAAAGGCTTTGACAACACAATCATTTTTTTCATGTCTCGAGTGACTTGAGAAACTGCAAATCACTTCTGGTGTGAGAGAATTGGCTGTCCTGAAGGATGTTGCCCAAGGGATGCCTGTATGTTTTGATGTTTTACCATCCTTGTGGAGGCTTTTCTCATGTCTCTGCATGGGGAGCTGGAGCTGACAGAGGGAGTTCATCCACACTCACCCCAGATTTAAACCTCTGACCTGTTGGTTTTCAGTCCTGACGGCACAAGGGTTTAACCCATTGCACCACCTAACACAACCATGATGTAACCATAATGACATCTTAATGCTTTTGTTTCATCCCTGCTGTTTGCCTTTGTCCTTATTTACTTTACTTAACTAAGCCTTGTTGGATATACGTGCTTAGATTGATGTCGGCATGGGAGATTTTAAAAATAAAATAACCAACCAAACCTTAGTGACTAATCTGTGTGTGACCGAACTGGGCTTCTTTTTCCTACTTAAAATGGGCATTTCTTTATCTAAAATGCATATTGATGAGAAAGAACAACACTGTCTTCCTGTCTCCTATCCAAGAGTGTTAGAAGTTCCTAAGAATTGTGTGTATGTCCCTTCAAGTTGATTTACGGCCATCCCATGAAATTCATGATGTTTTCAAAGGCAAGGCACACTCAGAGGTGAATTTGGCAGTTCCTCTATATAAAATAGAGCCTACTGCACCGTGGATTAGTTGGACATCTGCCACCCAAGTGCTAAGCAGGACTGATCCTGCATAGCTTCCAAGATCCCAGATGGGATTTGGTGCCTTCAAGGTATATTCCAGAAACCCTGATCTGGAAAATTACATTTTGAATGACAATGCCCAGAATCCCCCAGTCAGAATGGCCTGGGCGTATGAGAATGCTAAGAATTTCAGTACAGAGATATGCCTTTCCTGAGATGTTCCTTGCTCACACAGAGTTCCCAAATAGACAGTCATTCAAATGTGGTTTCAGCTTTTGTTGTTTTCTATCTGTTGTAAATTTATTTTTATTTTTTGTTGCATTTCTGTCCTTTTCTTTCGTGGACTTAATGGGACATAAAATTGCCCTTCTTTTTGCTGCTTTAGCTTCACAACAATCTGATGAGATAGGCAAGGCTGGTAGAGGGATTCGGTTCCAAATTGGTATCATCCACCAAGGATGCATTCAGAGGTGGCCCTAGGTAATTTTCAACACTAAGCAAACAGTATTTTGCCCCCCCCCCCCCAACCAATCACTGATATATATTTTCTGTTCGTCGTGGGAGTTCTGTGTGCCACATTTGGTTCAATTCCATCAATTGTAGCTACTGGGATGAACCATACATCCCAGTAGCTGCAACTTGCATATGTCAAGGTCTATTTTCCCCCAAGAGCGCCTCAAGAGCGCCCCTGGGCAAAATCAACTATACTGCAAATACTTACTTTGCATAATGGGTTGAGACGCCCCTGGGTGCATTTACACCAGTGGTTCCCAATCTGTGAGCCGCGAGACCTAAAATAAGGTCTGCAGCTCTAGACTATTAAATATGGTTTTCTGTGAGTGAGCAGATGGCGACTATTGGATGGCATATGTTCTGTATCAGAAACTAGAGCTGATGTAATCTTTCCATTGCCATTTTCTGAATCAGCACCCCAAATAAACAAGCTGAATCTAAAGTTGACCAAAAACTGATTCGTAACCTTTTTGGTACTAATGTTGGAGAGTGGCTCCTTGTCAAATGGTCCTTGGTTAAAGTGGTCCCTGGTCAAAAAAAGGTTGGGAACTACTCATCTACAAGGTAGAATTAATGCAAGGTTCTTGTGGGTTTTTTTCGGGCTATAGGGCCATGTTCTAGAGGCATTTCTCCTGACTTTTCGCCTGCATCTATGGCAAGCATCCTCAGAGGTAGTGAGGTCTGAATTAATGCAGTTTGATACCACTTTAACTGCCACAGGTCAATATTATGGAATATGAGAGTTGTAGTTTTATAAGGTATTTAGCTTTCTGTGCCAAATATCATGGGTTCATAATGTTGCAAGATAAATCTTTATCAAAACAATTGCCCAATAATTGGCTCCCACACAGTGGCACCATGGCTGTTGTTTACTTACAGTGATTTGGAAAGCAAGCATGTGGCATAATTTGATGCGTATCTTGGAATGCAAGCATTGGTAGATGCATCATGTGTTGTATCTTTGGCATATCTTTATCGCCAAGGTGTGGTGTTGACTCCAAGCCCAAGTTTCACATTTTTTTGGTACCATGAGAGATCATTAAAGAATGCTTAAATGGGAGTGACACCTGCATGTACAGAGTTGACAAAACTATCAAACAACGTATCATGTGCTGTGTTACTTATGTTTGTTAACAATTTAATTGCAACAGTAACCAGGAAGAGAATTCAAATCTTGTGACTCAACCATGACACTCCTTCCCATTCAGGTCCCTTCTACACTGCCACATAATCCAGATTATCAAAGCAGATAAACCATAATATGTTGTTTGAACTTGATTATATGACTCTACACTATCATATAATCCAGTCCAAAGCAGATAATCTGGATTTTATGTGGCAGTGTAGAAGAGGCCTCAGGTGCCCGCCTACAGAACAAATAATTGAAACTCTGATTTATATACGTTGGACGAAGACTCTGGGAAACCAAGGTTTGAATCTCCGTTCAAAGATGGAAACCCACTGGGTGTCCTTGGGTGCATCTACACTGTGGAAATAATGCTGTTTGGTACTGCTTTAACTGCCATGGTTGAATGCTATAGAATCATAGGAGTTGGTAGTTTTCAAATAGTGCTGGTGCCTTGCCAAACTACAGCTCCCAGCATTCCATAACATTGGGCCATGGCAGTTCAAGTGGCGTCAAACTGCATTAATTCTACTGTGTAGATGCTTCTTAAGAAAAACTTACAGGGTTCATGGGGTCAGTGCAAATGCTAACCAGGGATGGCACTGCTTAGCTTCCAAGATGGGATCTGGTGTCTTTAGGCTGACCCGAGCCCTCCCATATTGCCTTTCTTTTCCATAATTAAAGCATAGAGATAAGCGTCAATCAGGAGTTAACTTTTTAATGGCTGCTTATCTGCTCCAAACAGGCATGGAAAGCAATCTTCAGGCAGTGCAGCTTTATCGCCTCTTTCACACAGTCGTTTTGTGATAAGATTGTGAGAGGTTTAATCCGGATAGCCAGTGAAAATGAAGGCTAAGCTTCTAAAAACGGTCTGCCCTCCGCAACACACGTTCAAAGGGAGCTGTACATATGATGCCGTCTCCCTTCTGCCTCCTCCACCATGACCCCAGATTGAATGTCAAAATCTGGTTTCCAGGAATACCTACCCATTTCAGGATCACCATCCGTTTTTTTTTTGAAGATCTGTACACCTGTTGGTGTTTTTCTTTCTTTTCCCCCTGTTCAGCAGCTATTAAAAGCACTGGAAATATAAACAGCGAGAGTACAACTTGGCTTTGACAGAGCTTGGTATTTTTGGGCAGATAATTCTTTCTATTGCTGGATCTACACTGCCATATAATGCAGTTTACATGGTCAGCATAGACCTATATAATGCAATTCAATGCAGTTAAACTGCATTATACGTGTTTACAGCTGACCATACAGTACAGTTCCAAACTCATTACATGGCAGTGTAGATACAGCTCAATTCTGCACATTTATTTATTTATTTACAGCATTTTTATCCTGCCCTTTTCAGCCCTAAGGCAATTTAGGGCGGCATACAGATTGGCAACAATTAAATGCCACAACATTCATACATACTGTATCAATTAAAAACAGTTAATATCACATAATAAAAATCCATATAAAACCACTTAAAACTATAATAATCAATGTTTACCAGTTCAACTCCTTATCCATTTGCATTGTCTAAGCCAGGGGTCCTCAAACTAAGGCCTGGGGGCCAGATACGGCCCTCCAAGGTCATTTGCCCGGCCCTCACTCAGGGTCAACCTAAGTCTGAAATGACTTGAAAGCAAACAACAATAACAATCCTATCTCATCAGCCAAAAGCAGGCCCACACTTAATAATAATAATAATAATAATAATAATAATAATAATAATAATAATAATAATCTTTTATTTGTACTCCGCCACCATCTCCCCAAATATGTGAGAGGAAGTTATAGGGAGGAGGGAGCAAGCTTGTTTTCTGCTGCCCTAGAGACTAGGATGCAATGGAACAATGGCTTCAAACTACAAGAAAGGAGATTCCATCTGAACATTAGGAAGAACTTCCTGATTGTGAGAGCCGTTCAGCAGTGGAACTCTCTGCCCTGGAGTGTGGTGAGGCTCCTTCTTAGGAGGTTTTTAAACAGAGGCCGGGTGGTCATCTTTCAGGGGTGCTTTGAATGCAATTTTCCTGCTTGTTGGCAGGGGGTTGAACTGGATGGCCCATGAGGTCTCTTCCAATCTTTCTATGATTCTATGACATGAATGCAATGGATGCAATGAAAAATATGTGTGTACATTGTCGCAATGTAATAATTTAGTTTGTGAATATTTTTAGTAGGTAAGTAAACTTTATTACGGTTGATGACCAGAGTGTTTTTAAATGTCTGAGACTGGTCCCAGACGTAAACTTATGCAGCTACAGGGGGTACATAGTATTTTGTTTCAACTACCTCTGACTTGAGATATTGCTTCCCACCTACTGTTAAATTCCTTGTTCCTGGATTGTCCTCTCTCTTGCTAAAGATGTTCCTTGCATTTCTTTTCCCATCCAGAGCAAATGGGGTCGACCTCTAGAAACCAGATCTACCTAGTCACTGGTGGCTGTGGTTTTCTGGGGAAACATCTGGTCCAAATGTTGCTGGAGCAGGAGTCTGACCTGACAGAAGTGCGTGTCTTTGACTTGCATCTTGACGAGAGCATGCGGCATTTGAACAAAGGTAAGCCACTGACAAAACTTTCCACATTTTGGCAGGGAAGCTCTAGCCAGCAATGTGCAGATACCACATAACCTGTAGGTCTTGGATTGAATAAGAAAGTGAATTCTGGTTTGCCAAAATCTCACCAGGGACATGTCAAGCTGCATTCACAATACGAAGGAAGTTGATGAAATCTTTGGTATTTTGTTAAACCCAACTAGTTCCAAATGCTACCCAAAAATGCTAATTCTGGGATTCTGTAAAATATAAGTACGGCAGTTAAAGTGAAATAATAGTACTATAATTCTTTAGTGGGAATGGGCTCTTTGGTTTTTACTCAGTTTGAATCCCGAGCTGTTACTGAAAGACTGCTCCCATCACTTTGGATGACCCACCATGTGGACTGGGGATAATGGGAATTCAAGTCCAAATACATTTGTGGCTCTGAGGTTGGGGAAATTTAAAGGACATTTTAGAGTCAGACATCATCTCAGATTAGCTGGCAGTGGAGACTCACATAATCCAGTTCAAAGCAGATAATCTGGGATGAGATCCTGGGATACAGGACCGTGTAGAAGGGATCTCGATCACAACTCTCATCAGGTGTAGTCACAAAGCCTAATAAAGAGGAATACAGGAGTTGGAGGCCAGCATTTGGAGAGCCAGATAAAATGACAGGGTGGTCTGTATTTGGGTGCCGGTTAACCAAGAGTCTGCTGTAGTTTATACTCCTATTCACTCAGCAGAGGTGAGAAGAAGAGAGATTAGAAATAATTTTTCCTTTTCGGTTGGCCCCATCAAAAGCCAATTGCTCTAGCTAATTATAGTTTATGGGCACTTTCTCTTTAAAACAGTGTTTCTCAACCTTTTTAATGCTGCGACCTCTTAATACAGTTCCTCAGGTTGTGGTGACCCCCACAACCTTGCTACTGCGTAATTGTAAATTTGCTACTGTTATGCATCGTACTGTAAATATCTTATATGCAGGGTGTATTTTCATTCACTTGACCAAATTTGGCACAAATACCCAATATGCCCAAATTTGAATACTGGTGGATTTGGCGGTGGGGGGTGGGGTAGGTGATTTTGTCATTTAGGAGTTGTAATTGCTGAGATTTATAGTAAACTTACAAGCAAAGCGCATTTTGAACTTGAACCACACTTGACACACAGAACTCCCAACAGAAAACACTGAAAGGGTTTGGTGGGCATTTACATTTGGTTTTGGAGTTGTAGTTCACCTATATCCAGAGAGCACTATGGACTCAAACAATGATAGATCTGGACCAAATTTGGCTCGAATACTCAATATGCTGAAATGTGAACACTGGGTGGGGAAAATAGAGCTTGACATTTGGAAGTCGTAGTTGCTGTGATTTCTGGTTCACCTACAATCAAAGAGCATTCTGAACCCCACCAATGATAGAATTGGGCCAGACTTCCCACATAGAATCCCCATGCCGTGAAGGGACTCACAGATGCAAGCCTCCCTCCGGCTTCACACGCTCTTCCTCGCCAGCACATGCGCACCTCACTGCCACACGGCAAGCATGCCTGCTCTACCCTCCCCTCTTGGAGTCTCAGAAACAGCCTTCCAATTGGCTGAGAGCAGAAGAGCAGTAGAGGAGGGATTTTGGTGAGAGGATTCACCATCTATTTCCAATTTATTTGTCATGTCAGAGCAACCAGTCCATTATATTACATTTCTTATTTCTAATAAGCAAGAGGCGGAGAGATCTTCAGCCTTCTCTGCCAAAGTGGTTCTTAAGACCATCAGAAATATATGAAACCCCCTCACATCCTCCACAGGGGTCCCGACTCCCAGGTTGAGAAACGCTGCTTTAATAGCTTTGACTGTCTTGACCACACTTGAGAATTTAGCCACTGGTCTCGCAGTTTTCATCTCTGAAATGGGGAGGCAATGAGATTGCTGCTCCTGATACATGGCCAACTGCTGGGCGCAGTCTATGGATCAGCCAACTGCCTGCTCCGCATTGTTTCCCCTTTTGTGGTATGGAAGTTGCTGACAGACAGCTAGGCGGATGGATGTGGCACCATTGCTTCATTCCAGAAAAGTGACTCCCGAAAGGAGGGACATTGTTGGCAGAAGCACGTGGAACAGTTTTGTCAAAGCAGTGGCTTCAAAAGCAACTGTGTGGCCAGTTCTGCAGAGAGCACAGAAAGGCCAGCATCTACCCAGGTGGTTGTGATTTATTCCTGGTCCACATCCTTCTGCTGACTCCTTTGCTGCCAAAATACCATTGGCTTGGCCAATTGTGCATGATACTTGGTGGCAAGAGCTTTGCTAGGCATTCTATATCAGGGATTGAGAGGGGGCGGGGGAGGAATGAATGATTCTGCTCAGGAATTGCTGGGAGAGATGCCCAGTTGGAATGATTTTGGCTTCTGGGCAAAATTTTTGCTCCTTCTGCAGCTAAAGATCTAGTGTCTTTTGGGCTTCGGTCCAGGATAAAACAAAGCCTGACCTTGAAAAATACCTTCACTCTATTAGAGGAAGTGGAGCAATGAACCTTCGGCAGTTTTTTGTAGCAACAGTTCTTGATAAGAGAATTTGGTGGTTTGAAAAACAGGATGAGGGCAGAGCCATGGACCTGGACCCCCTTTGCTGATATTTAATACTTAGCAAAATACACAGAGACATGGAACATACCCTGTACATTCATGAATAAGTTGAGAAATTTTCACTAAAATATCACCACCACCCACAAAAAAACTGGGTAAATGTAAATACTGTACCTTTGCTCTTACCGTAAGAGGAACCATCTCGTAAGTGGCGAAAGGCAAGAGCTTAATCCATCCCAGAAGAATCCCAAAGAAGCACTGATCCCTGCTACTCTCGCTCTCTGCATAGCACCACTTCTAACCTCTTTAAATGCCTTATCCACAAGTCATATCAAAATTCGTATTTTGAGGCCCCTAACCTTCTCTCAATTTATACATGAAGTAGACTTATACGTGAGTATATAACAGTGGTTCCCAACCTTTTTTTGACCAGGGACCACTTGATCAGGGACCCCTTTCACCAGGGACCACTTGACCAAGGACCACTTGACCAGAGACCACTTTGACCAGGCACCATTTGACCAGGGACCCCTCTGACCAGGGACAACTTGACCAGGGATCACTTTGATCAGGGACCACTCTCCAACAGTAGTTCCAAAAGGATTACGAATCCGTTTTTGGTCAACTTTAGATTCAGTTTGATTATTTGGGATGCTGATTCAGAAAATGGCATTGGATAGATCACACCAGCTCTAGTTTCTGATACAGAACATATGTCATCCAGTAGTCGCCATCTGCTATCTCACAGAAAGCCACATTTAAGTCTAGAGCCAGGGACTGTATTTTAGGTCTCACGGCCCACCAGTGGGCCATGGCCCACAGGTTGAGAACCACTGGTATATATGGTAATACATAGACATAAGGTATCTCCGTGTTGTAAGAGGATGCTGTAGTGCTTCCCTAGAATCCCTTTTTCAAGCTTTCGTGTGGTTTCCCATTTACCGTATCTTTCAGAAGCAATTACGTTTATGCTGACTATGAAGTGAATTGAGATGCTTCATACTTGGGCTTTCTCTGCCTAATCAAAAAGGCCTTTGCTTAACCAAAAAGGTTCCCAAAGCAGCTTTCGTATATTGGTAGTGAAACAGCCACTGCTCTTGGGCTTAAAATAACTAAAATGCACAGCAAAAAAGAAAGAAGCATGGGAGAATGAAGAGGAATAAAAAGCAAAAGCAGAGGCCTTAAAATTTCAATTCCTAACAGTGTCAGCTGGCGTACGAACAGTTCAGAGGCAGCTGAAGAATGTTGGAAGGCTTTCCATTCTTCTTTTCTCTTTCTGTCTCTCTCTGTTTCTCAATCTTTCTCTCTATGCTGTGGATTGATGTCTCAGGACTATGCCTGACAAGGAGGAACTGGGATTCCTTGTTTCAGATCTGGAAACTGTCAATGCAGAAACAAAAGGGTAAGAAAGTGGTATCTTGGGAAGTCAGTGTGTTGAAATGCAGAATGAGACAATTGGAGGCCGTCTAATCTAGAGCTCCTAAACCAGTGGTTCTCCACCTGTGGGTCTCCAGATGTTTTGGCCTTCAACTCCCAGAAATCCTAACAGCTGGTAAACTGGCTGGGATTTCCGGTAGTTGTAGGCCAAAACACCCACAGGTTGAGAACTACTGTCCTAAACTTTGGTCTTCCAGATATTTTGGACTTCAACTCCCAGAAGCTCTAGTCAACTTGGCCAATTGTCAGGAATTCTGGGAGGTGAAGTCCAAAACCCCAGGAGAACCAAAATTTGGAAACCACCAATTTAGTCCAACATCTAACCGAAGCATTAAATTCACATTAAAAGCATATTTGGATGATCGGCCTTCACAATTTACACAAACTTTATTTTATGCATGACAATGTATAAAATTGTGGTTTGGCTATGTGTGCAGAATGTCTATGAAGCATAAATGAATTTCATGTCAAGACTTGGTTCCCATCTCCAAAATACCTTATTATGTATGGATAAATATATGCAGATATTCAAAAAATCCAGAAGACTGCTGATCCCAAATATTTTGGATAAGGGATACTCAACCTGTACTTTGACTGCAAATTAAGTTGTTCATGTTAAAAAAAATAATTTAAGAAAATAAAAAGAAGATTGAAACAGCTGGTTAATAACAGATGGGCTATTAATTCTCTGGAGAGGAATAAATTAGGAAGGGGAAATAGCCTTGCAAGGCCTCACTTGACGCAAAGAGAGGCAGGTGGGAATGAACTCCATGGCTCAAGTTCCTGTCTTCACGGGAAAAGCGGATGGGTGTCATTTCATTTCTGGCAGGTGTTCTGTGGTAGATATGGTTACAGACAGGATTTCCTGACAGGGTCACCACGAAGCTTCCTGGCTTCATTGGAAAAAAGAAATGGGAAAGAGAAACACTTTTTAAATCAGCAGTAGATCTGCAGAGTTGGGTTTCTACCTTTTCCTCCCTCCACCCATCTCTATTTAGAAA